AGGGCCCTAACTCACATCCATACATACACATATAAGGGACAATTTTAGACAGGAGACAATTCACCTACCAGCATGTCTTTGGAGTGTGGGAGGAAACCGGAGTACCCAGAGGAAACCCACGCAGGCACAAGGAGAACATGCAAACTCCAGGCAGGTGGTGCCGTGGCTGGGATAAGAACCAACGACCAGAGTACTGCCAGGCGGAAGTGCTAACCATTTAGTCACAATGTTCCCAATACTGAAACCAATGCTATTTGCAGCAATACAAAATGTATGGATGCAAATTGCATGGCAAAGAATACCATGCAATTTGTATAGGAATGGCTGCAGCTTTCTTCCCCTTCCTTGCAGGAGTTTGGGCTAGAGGGCTTCTGATTGGTCAGCACCGTCATGATGCTGACCAGTCAGAAACCATCTAGCCCCTACTGTTATCCTTGCAAGGTGAGAGGAGAAAGCAGCTTCACAGGTCTGGGGATTTGAAATCTCCGCGGCTTTCTCACCTCCTTAGTTCTGGGATGACAGTATGGGTAGATGGTGCTGACCAATCAGAAGACGTCTATCCCGTACTGTCATCCCTGCAAGGAGCAAAGAGAAAGCAGCAGGGATTTCAAATCCCCAGACCTGTGAAGCGGCTTTCACTCCTTGCAGGGATGACGGTACAGGCTAGATGGCTTCTGATTGGTCAACACCATCATGATGCTGACCAATCAGAAACTGTCTAGCTCGTACTGTCATTCCTGCAGGGAGAGGAGAGAAATTCGCTTCACAGGTCTGGTGGTTTGAAATCCCCATGACTTTCTTTCCTTTCCTTGCAAGGATAACAGTACGAGCTAGTTGGCTTCTGATTGGTCAGCATCAACATGGTGCTATCCAGTCAGAAGCAGTCTAGCCCATACTGTCATCCCTGCAAGGAGAGAGAAACCCGCTTCAGAGGTCTGGTAGTTTGAAATCCCCGTGGCTTTCTCTCCTCTCCTTGCAAGGATAACAGTATGGGCTAGTTGGCTTCTGATTGTTCAGCATCATCACAGTGCTGACCAATCAGAAGCAGTCTAGCCCGTACTTTCATCCCTGCAAGGAGAGGAGAGAAACCCGCTTCACAGGTCTGGTGGTTTGAAATGCCCGCTGCTTTCTTTCCTCTCCTTGCAAGGATAACATTATGAGCTAGTTGGTTTCTGATTGGTAAGCATCATCACAGTGCTGACCAATCAGAAGCAGTTTAGCCCGTACTGTTATTCCTGCAAGGAATGAAGAGAAAGCCGTGGTGATTTGAAATCCACAGACCTGTGAAGCGGCTTTCTCTCCTCTCCTTGCAGGGAGGACCGTACAGGCTAGATTGCTTCTAATTGGTCAGCAGTGTGATGGTGCTGACCAATCAAAAGCTATCTAGCCACTACGGTCATCCCTGCAAGGAGAGGAGAGAAAGCCACAGGGATTTAAAATCTCCAGCTTTTCCTTCTGTGACAGCATGGGATCGGTGCAGGGAGGTTTCCCGCACTACTCGTGTGCGAACCTCGGGCTACGACAATTCTGGGCTCACACAGGAGCGGTGCGGGAACTGTATGCGATCTGGACAGGAATCGCTCCACATTCCTGTTCAAATCGCATGCTATTCTTTGCCGTGTAATTTGCGCCCATACATTTTGTAGTGATTCAAATCGCACCGCCAAGTATCAGTCTTCGAACTCTCCAATCAAAGTAGGACAGGCATCAAAAGAAGACACTGACTGCTGATTCTGTACATTTGTTTTGTTTTTTTCGGGACTTTTACTTTGTTCAGCTGAATTCTTGTTAGACTTTCATCATTTCACATTCCAGGGGGTCACAGGTTGACGTACAGAAGGATTTTAGACAACGTGTTCATTTTATGTTTGTTATACACAGTGCTGCTTTATGTTCGCTAACCCGTTCCTGCCCAGTCCCGGTATCCATTTAACTGGATCTTCACGCCGGAGGCCCTTAACCTCCTTAGCGGTATTCCCGAGTGTAGCTCGGGGTAAAATTTCTATACCAAGAGCGGTAACCCTGAGCTACACTCGGGCTTACCATGCGGCGTTGCTCTGGGGGTCCCTGCAGCACTTACCTTGTCCTTCGCTCCCGCTATGTGTCCCCTGCAGCATCCCCGGCCATCTCCTCCGGCCGATGCCGGCATCCGGCTTCTGTGTTCCGGTCCCTGTGACGTCGGGACGTACGGGCGCCAGAACCGGCGGGAAATTTGAAATTTTTAAAAAATGTCATTTTTGCTGTCATTGCTGTTTCAAACCATTTCACATACATTGTGTCCCGAGTGCTTTGTCCGGCGCCCTGCCTGCATTTTTACTGTTCTTTCTGAATGGAAACTGAGAAACGTCCATGGCGTCCAAAAAGCGTCCCTTTAGGTCAAAAGCGGTTTTAGACCGGCTAGAGAACAGCGATAGTAAATCAGAACCACTTGCAGAATTGAGTGATAATGATTCGTGGGGGAAATTCCTCATCAGACACTGAAAACGATTCTGCGACTTTGCTCAGTAATGTGCGAACTTGGTGCTCTATTTCACATTTCAGTGTTTTTGGTTTGATTATATTATTGAATTAAATGTATTATTATTATTATATTATTATTTTTTATGATTATTTATTAAATTATAATTTATGATTTTCAAATTTTATCATCCCCGGGATGTTTACTAGACTCTTGTTCAGACATATTTCAGTGAGTTATTCCTAAAAATTACAGCCTACAATAAAAAACTACATATTTCCATGCAAACAAATGGTACCGCTTTCAGCACAAAAAATCAGAAAGAATCAGACCGCCGAGGAGGTTAAAAAAAAAAAAAGCCTGAAAAACATTCAGCTCGGTGTGAACGGAGCCTGAAAGGTAAACGTACCCTTCAATGAGTACACATTTGTCTAGGCTTTACGTGTTTTTTTGCGTCTTTTTTTAGTTGTGTATAGACAAAACAATGTTGCCACTGGCTCTGGCAGTATATAGTGCCGTCTAACCCCCCTGCCATCCACCCTCCGCATGCTGTACGCATGCAGCTGTGATATCTTCACGTGGCTCCGGAGACCTTTGTGTATGCGGTTATTGATTACATTTCGTAATATTCCGAGTGATTTGTATATACGGTAATGGCCTCAAATGGCTCACATGATAATAATTTACACCCGGCCATAAAACACGCCTCTGCGTTATCAGAGATTAGATGGATTGCAGAACCGGTCAGTCCACGACTCCTCAGTTTCTCTCTTCTGTGAGAATCTATTTAAAATGAGAGTAAAGGGATCTGAGCTCCGCTAACTGAAAACACTATTTAATCCATTCTTAAAGGATAAGTCCATCTTTGGGAACATGTTACATGTTCCACCTGTTTTCAGGGTGTTACATGTAACATGTTTCCCATACTGCAGCTGCCGCCTCCCTCCGACAGTTGTAAGGAGAGAAGTTCCCCCAGAGTAGCTGTCAGATTTAATACCAGTGTGACAGTGTGGGGCTCCGCCCACATGGCCATGTCATTCATTCACAGAGTTCTGTGAATGAATGCACTACAAGTCCCAGCAGCCTTAGCGGCTGTGGGCTTGTAGGTTTCAATGAATTACAACGGTGCTGTGGAGCTCTGTGGTAGTTCGAGTCTTCCTGTCAGTATATCTGCTTCCTCGTACATCCCGTATGGGCAAGCAGATATACTGACAGGTCTGCAGGAAGCCTGCATGGCACCAGTGATTTAATGATCACTGGTGCAATGCTTTCCAGACTCCTGCAGACAAAAATAATAAATGCACATTTTTTTTATCTGCAAATAAATGCACAGATAATATGCACCCCCACGGGGTCTGGGGAGAGGGGATATAGTGAATGCAGGGTCCGGGGAGACTGGATATAGTGAATGCAGGGTCCGGGGAGAGCGGATATAGTGAATGCGGGGTCCGGGGAGACCAGATATAGTGAATGCAGGGTCCGGGGAGAGCGGATATAGTGAGTGCAGGGTCCGGGGAGACCAGATATAGTGAATGCAGGGTCCGGGGAGAGCGGATATAGTGAATGTAGGGTCCGGGGAGAGCGGATATAGTGAATGCGGGGTCCGGGGAGACCAGATATAGTGAATGCAGGGTCCGGGGAGAGCGGATATAGTGAATGCAGTGTCCGGGAGAGCGGATATAGTGAATGCAGGGTCCAGGGAGACCAGATATAGTGAATTCAGGATCGGGGAGACCAGATATAGTGAATTCAGGATCCGGGGAGACCAGATATAGTGAATGTGGGGTCCAGGGAGGGCTGATGTAGTGAATGCAGGGTCCGGGGAGAGCAGATATAGTGAATGCAGGGTCCGGGGAGACCGGATATAGTGAATGCGGGGTCCGGGGAGACCGGATATAGTGAATGCAGGGTCTGGGAAGAGCGGATATAGTGAATGCGGGGTCTGGGGGGAGACCGGATATAGTGAATGCAGGGTCCGGGGAGAGCAGATATAGTGAATGCAGGGTCCGGGGAGAGCAGAAATAGTGAATGCAGGGTCTGGGAAGAGCGGATATAGTGAATGCGGGGTCTGGGGAGACCGGATATAGTGAATGCGGGGTCTGGGGAGAGCGGATATAGTGAATGCAGGGTCCGGGGGGGACCGGATATGGTGAATGCTGGGTCTGGGGGGACCGGATATAGTGAATGCAGGGTCCAGGGGGACTGGATATAGTGAATGCAGGGTCCAGGGAGACCAGATATAGTGAATGCGGGGTCCGGGGAGAGCGGATATAGTGAATGCAGGGTCCGGGGGGACTGGATATAGTGAATGCAGGGTCCAGGGAGACCGGATATAGTGAATGCGGGGTCCGGGGAGAGCGGATATAGTGAATGCGGGGTCTGGGAAGACCGGATATAGTGAATGCAGGGTCCGGGGAGACCGGATATAGTGAATGCGGGGGTCCGGGGAGAGCGGATATAGTGAATGCAGGGTCCGGGGAGACCGGATATAGTGAATGCGGGGTTTAGTAACACTTTAAGCCTTCTTTCTTCCTCACTGCAGGTCCAGCCAGGGATGGCACCATTGGCGAGGACACTATTCGAGCCTCCCTCATTTCAGCCGTTAGTGACAAGTTAAGATGGCGGATGAAGGAAGAGATGGATCGCGCACAGGCGGAGCTTAATGCATTGAAACGCACAGAAGAAGATCTGAAGAAAGGACACCAGAAGTTGGAGGAGATGGTCACTCGGCTAGACCAGGAGGTGGTGAGGCAACCTTTCATGGTATTATTGAAATAAACAGGATGGTGTATACGGGCTCATCACACTGACCTATTGAGTGGTGTCCGTGCGTCCAAACTGCTGCATAATTCTCTCCATAGAAATCACGTGGAACATACGTTGTATGCAGGTATCTGCGTATAAATGGCAGTTCTTGCATTTGCAGGCACGTGTGTGTGGGTGTGTTATCTCTATGCGCCTGCAAATATTCTGTGTGCATGAGTCCAAAAGGTGCGGACTGTGACGCCACTAAGACATAGCCAGAGGCACCAACAAAATGGCGGCTGTCTGCACACACACACACCGACTGCCTGTTGCATGAATGTGAATAAAATGAGTAAAAGATGGCTTCCTCTCCTATTCTCCATTTGTAGAGACGCGTTTCCCCTTTTTTAGGGCTTAAAGTGGAATTTAAACTGCGTGCCTACAAGTCCCAGCAGCCTTAGTGGCTGTCGGCTTGTAGCTTTCAATGAACTACCATGGTGCTGTGGTGCCCCATGGTAGTTCATCGAAGCTTCCTGTCAGAATATCTGCTCGACACACCCGTACATCCCGTACACCCCCTACATCCCGTACACCCCCGTACTTCCCGTAAACCCCCTACATCCCGTACACCCCGTACTTCCCGTAAACCCCCTACATCCCGTACACCCCGTACTTCCCGTAAACCCCATACATCCCGTACACCCCGTACATCCCCTACATCCTGTAAATCCTGTAAACCCCATACATCCCGTAAACCCCCTACATCCCGTACACCCCGTAAACCCCTTACATCCCGTACACCCCGTACTTCCCGTAAACCCCCTACATCCCGTACACACCCCGTACTTCCCGTAAACCCCATACATCCCGTACACCCCGTACATCCCCTACATCCTGTAAATCCTGTAAACCCCATACATCCCGTAAACCCCCTACATCCCGTACACCCCGTAAACCCCTTACATCCCGTACACCCCGTACTTCCCGTAAACCCCATACATCCCGTACACCCCGTACATCACCTACATCCTGTAAATCCTGTAAACCCCATACATCCCATACACCCCCTACTTCCCGTAAACCCCATATATCCCGTACACCCCGTACATCCCCTACATCCTGTAAATCCCATACATCCCGTAAACCCCATACATCCCGTACACCCCGTACTTCCCATAAACCCCCTACATCCCGTACACCCCGTATATCCCCTACATCCTGTAAATCCCATAAACCCCATACATCCCGTACACCCCGTACTTCCCGTAAACCCCATACATCCCGTACACCCCATATATCCCGTACATCCCCTACATCCTGTAACTCCCGTACATCCCGTAAACCCCATACATCCCGTACACCCCGTACTTCCCGTAAACCCCCTACATCCCGTACATCCCCTACATCCTGTAAATCCTGTAAACCCCATACATCCCGTACACCCCGTACTTCCTGTAAACCCTGTACATCCCCTACATCCTGTAAACCCCGTACATCCCGTACTTCCCGTAAACCCCCTACATCCCGTACACCCCGTACATCCCCTACATCCTGTAAATCCCATACATCCCGTAAACCCCATACATCCCGTACACCCCGTACTTCCCGTAAATCCCCTACACCCCGTACATCCCGTACACCCTGTACATCCAGTACATCCCATAAACCCCGTACATCCTAATTGGAATTGGACTTGGTTCCCCCATTGACACCAACAACAAGGCACAATTCCTCCCCAAAAACATCAACAATGGGGCACAATTTCTTCCAATGATACCAACGATGGGGCAAAATTCATCTTAATGACACCAACGATGGGACACAATTACTCTCAATGAGCTTTAGCAGCTCTGTAGCCTGGGTTCATAATGATGCGGTGTGGAATTCGCACTGGTTTCTGTGCGAATTCTGTGCCGCATCAAAATCGTACCCAGTTCATGAGAACCGCTGCAGGTGTGTATATTAAGTTAACAATACTCCGAGATTGGTTCGCAAAACGCGGTGCGCTGCACAGAATCGGATCACATAGGTGTGAATATCCATGCGATGCGATTCTAGTGCGGACATAAAAAGGGTCCTTGACATTTTGTATGGCTCAAATCGCACTGCACAGAAGTCGCATATGATTTGCACAGGAATGCGGTGCGGTTCCTGTGGGAATCACATGCGATATGCCGCACTGCATCATTGTGAACCCGGGCTTAAAGCGGAGTTCCACTCACCCTGTCACAAAAATAAAAGTCAGCAGCTACAAAAACTGTAGCTGCTGACTTTTAAAAAAACAGTCACTTACCTGTCCCTCAGTGTGTCCCCTGCAGCCCGTTTCACCGGCCGTCCTGTATTCCAGGAGGCCGGCATCTTCATTGTGGGCACCCGGCTGTCACAGCTTGCGGTTTCACAGCCGGGTACCCACTGCGCATGATTGAGTAGCGCTGCGCTTCATGAATGGTCCTGTAGTCTTCTGTGACCTGTCACGTGTCCCAGAAGACTACAGGGAGGGAGGACACCTTCCGTTTCCGATCGCCTAGGCGATCAGACCAGAAGTGGGAGCGGGTACCTGTCAAATTTGGGTACCTCCCCGCCCCCCAAAGGTGCCAATCCTTAATGGGGAGCGGGGGAGCAGTCCTTAATGCGGAACTTCCCCTTTTGGGTGGAGCTCCGCTTTAAGCTCCCTGTGCAATAGACCTTCTACCAAGAAAAATAGATTAGCTTGTACACCCCTTGAGGGTCGGGGACTGATGTGAATGTACAATATATATGTAAAGCGCTGCGTACATTGATGGCGCTATATAAGTACCTGAAATAAATAAATAATAAATCCTAGATTGTAAGCTCCCAGGATCAGGGCCCTCCTATCCCTCTTGTATTGAACTGTATTGTCTCCCGTTATATTGTAAAGTGCTGAGCAAACTGTTGGCGCCATATAAATCCTGTATAATAATAATAATCCCGTACATCCTGTACAGCAAGCAGATATTCTGGCAGGTCTGCAGGAGCTCTGCATGGCATCAGCAATCTACTGATCACAGTTGCAATGCTTTCCAGGCTCCTTTGGACAAAAATAATAAATGCGCATTTTTTTACCTGCAGCTTATCCTTTAAGCCTTCAAGCTGGTGAAACGCATGAATGCAGCACATAAGGCGTGGCCTCTTTTTAATGTCACGCTGTAAAATGCAATCTTGTCTAATAAATCTTCCTGTACAGGATGTAACTGGCATTTTATGACTTTTTTTTATTTCTTAAAACACCCACCAGACGGAAGTAGACAAAAACATTGAGACACTGAGAAAGAAGGATGAGGAGCTGGGCGCCGTGGTGGAGAAAATGGAGAGCCAATCAGAATACAGAGACATTGATGAGGTTATTGTGCCAACCGCCCCCCTCTACAAGCAGATCCTGAACCTGTACGCGGAGGAGAACGCCATAGAGGACACCATCTTCTATCTGGGGGAGGCGCTCCGAAGAGGCGTTATTGACTTGGATGTTTTCCTGAAGGTGGGTCACATGTTATGATATCGATGCTATCGGGGTACACCCAGACCATGTGATCAGCACTTTGTGCCCAGTCCTTGCAGTGGCTGCAGAGTATCTAGACTACTATACCCAAACAAGGACTGCTAATAACCTTTACAGCTATGTTACGCACATGTTTGCGGGTGTGCAAAGTAAAACGGGGCGGGGTTGGTTTTAATTTTTTTTTTTTATTATTATTGTATTTAATCACTTCAAGTCCGGACACTTTTTCCCCCCCCCCCCCCCCCTTCCAGTCCGGACACTCTCACCCCCTTCCAGTCCGGACATTTTCCCCCCCTTCCAGTCCGGACACTTTCCCCCCCTTCCAGTCCGGACACTTTCCCCCCCCCCCTTCCAGTCCGGACGCTTTCCCCCCCCCCCTTCCAGTCCGGACGCTTTCCCCCCCCCCCCCTTCCAGTCCGGACGCTTTTTCCCCCCCCTTCCAGTCCGGACGCTTTCCCCCCCCTTTTCCGGACCCCCCCCCTTCCAGTCCGGACGCTTTCCCCCCCTTCCAGTCCGGACGCTTTCCCCCCCTTCCAGTCCGGACGCTTTCCCCCCCCCTTCCAGTCCGGACGCTTTCCCCCCCCTTCCAGTCCGGACGCTTTCCCCCCCTTCCAGTCCGGACGCTTTCCCCCCCCTTCCAGTCCGGACGCTTTCCCCCCCCCTTCCAGTCCGGACGCTTTCCCCCCCTTCCAGTCCGGACGCTTTCCCCCCCCTTCCAGTCCGGACGCTTTCCCCCCCTTCCAGTCCGGACGCTTTCCCCCCCTTCCAGTCCGGACGCTTTCCCCCCCCCTTCCCCCCCCCTTCCAGTCCGGACGCTTTCCCCCCCCCCTTCCAGTCCGGACGCTTTCCCCCCCCTTCCAGTCCGGACGCTTTCCCCCCCTTCCAGTCCGGACGCTTTCCCCCCCCCTTCCAGTCCGGACGCTTTCCCCCCTTCCCCCCCCCTTCCAGTCCGGACGCTTTCCCCCCCTTCCAGTCCGGACGCTTTCCCCCCCCCTTCCAGTCCGGACGCTTTCCCCCCCTTCCAGTCCGGACGCTTTCCCCCCCTTCCAGTCCGGACGCTTTCCCCCCCTTCCAGTCCGGACGCTTTCCCCCCCCTTCCAGTCCGGACGCTTTCCCCCCCCTTCCAGTCCGGACGCTTTCCCCCCCCTTCCTGTCCGGACGCTTTCCCCCCCTTCCTCCGGACGCCCCCCCCCTTCCAGTCCGGACGCTTTCCCCCCCTTCCAGTCCGGACGCTTTCCCCCCCTTCCAGTCCGGACGCTTTCCCCCCCTTCCAGTCCGGACGCTTTCCCCCCCCCTTCCAGTCCGGACGCTTTCCCCCCCTTCCAGTCCGGACGCTTCCCCCCCCCCTTCCAGTCCGGACGCTTCCCCCCCTTCCCCCGGACGCTTCCCCCCCCCCCTTCCAGTCCGGACGCTTTCCCCCCCCCCTTCCAGTCCGGACGCTTTCCCCCCCCTTCCAGTCCGGACGCTTTCCCCCCCCTTCCAGTCCGGACGCTTTCCCCCCCCTTCCAGTCCGGACGCTTTCCCCCCCTTCCAGTCCGGACGCTTTCCCCCCCTTCCAGTCCGGACGCTTTCCCCCCCCTTCCAGTCCGCACGCTTTTCCCCCCCCCCCCTTCCAGTCCGGACGCTTTCCCCCCCCCTTCCAGTCCGGACGCTTTCCTCCCCCCCCCCCCTTCCAGTCCGGACGCTTTCCCCCCCCTTCCAGTCCGGACGCTTTCCCCCCCTTTCCAGTCCGGACGCTTTCCCCCCCCCCCCTTTCCAGTCCAGGCCAATTTTCAGCTTTCAACGCTATCACACTTTGAATGACAATTGCGCGGTCATGCAATACTGTACCCATATGAATTTTTTAGCATTCTTTGAGAAAGATAAAACATTATTTTGGTGGTATTTATTCACCGCTGGGATTTTTATTTATTTGCTATATAAATGAAAAAGTACAAACATTTTGAAAAAAAAGTGTTTTTCTTATAAAATTTTGCAAATCATCTTTGCAAAAAAAAAAACAAAAAACCTAAATTAGTTTATAACCAAAAATTAAAAGTTTTCATAAAAATTTTTTACATTTTTAATTAATTTTTTTATATTATTATTTTTTTTTTTTAACATACTGTCACCCTAGCAGTACAGTGTTACCATGGTGACACTGTACTACTTGGGGGGGGTGATGAAGATTTTTTTTTTTTTTTACACACTTATTGCTTTTACACCCATAAAGATAGCTGAATACATTTTGGCCAAGATTTATGATGAAATATTATTTATTTGCAAAATTGTATAAGAAAAACACTTTTTTTCAAACTTTTTGGACTTTTCATTTACATAGCAAAAAAACTAAAAACTCCCAGTGGTGAATAAATACCACCAAAATAAAGCTTTATCTGTCTCAAAAAGTTCTAAAAATTCATATGGGTACAGTGTTGCATGACCGCGCAATTGTCATTCAAAGTGTGATAGCACTGAAAGCTGAAAATTGGCCTGGACGGGAAGGGGGGAAAGTGTCCGGACTGGAAGGGGGGGAAAGTGTCCGGACTGGAAGGGGGGGAAAGTGTCCGGACTGGAAGGGGGGGGGGAAAGTGTCCGGACTGGAAGGGGGGAAAGTGTCCGGACTGGAAGGGGGGGAAAGCGTCCGGACTGGAAGGGGGTGAAAGCGTCCGGACTGGAAGGGGGGGAAAGCGTCCGGACTGGAAGGGGGGGAAAGTGTCCGGACTGGAAGGGGGGGAAAGCGTCCGGACTGGAAGGGGGTGAAAGCGTCCGGACTGGAAGGGGGGGAAAGCGTCCGGACTGGAAGGGGGGGAAAGTGTCCGGACTGGAAGGGGGGAAAGTGTCCGGACTGGAAGGGGGGGTGAAAGTGTCCGGACTGGAAGGGGGGGAAAGTGTCCGGACTGGAAGGGGGGAAAAGTGTCCGGACTGGAAGGGGGGGAAAGTGTCCGGACTGGAAGGGGGGGAAAGTGTCCGGACTGGAAGGGGGGGAAAGTGTCCGGACTGGAAGGGGGGGAAAGTGTCCGGACTGGAAGGGGGGGGGAAAAGCGTCCGGACTGGAAGGGGGGGAAAGCGTCCGGACTGGAAGGGGGGGGAAAGCGTCCGGACTGGAAGGGGGGGAAAGCGTCCGGACTGGAAGGGGGGGGGGGGGGGAAGCGTCCGGACTGGAAGGGGGGGGGGGAAAGCGTCCGGACTGGAAGGGGGGAAAGCGTCCGGACTGGAAAGGGGGGGGGGGAAAGCGTCCGGACTGGAAGGGGTTAAATATTAAAATTAAATACAATAAAAGTAAAACCAGGTCAGCCTGTAGTAATGTGCACTCCGGGAAACGCGTGTGAATGCTATTAGCAGTCCTTGCTTTGGGTATAGTGGACTAAAAAGTAGCGGAAATCCTGAAATTCAGATTTCCTGTGTTTATTATTATTTTTTATTTTATTTTAGGTACTTATATATCGCCATCAATGTACGCCGCGCTTTACATATATATTGTACATTCACATCAGTCCCTAACCCTCAAGGGGTGTACAATCTAAGGTCCCTAACTCACATTCATACATACACATACTAGGGACAATGTAGACAGGAGACAATTCACCTACCAGCATGTCTTTGAAGTGTGGGAGGAAACCGGAGTACCCGAGGAAACCCACGCAGGCACAGGGGAGAACATGCAAACTCCAGGCAGGTGGTGCTGTGGTTGGGATTCGAACCAACGACCCCAAGTACTGCCAGGTGGAAGCGCTAACCACTTAGCCACTGTGCTGCCCCATGTTCGTGTTTTGACATTTGAATCCATACGCGCGCTTTTGTATACAAACCATAAGTAAATGATTTCTGTTTATTATTCCAGCACGTCCGACTGTTGTCCCGCAAGCAGTTCCAGCTCCGAGCGCTGATGCAGAAAGCCAGGAAGACAGCGGGGCTTAGTGACCTTTATTAACATTCAGCATCATCATCCCTCCCCTCCTCCCCCTGATATTTTTTTCATATCATATTTTTATTGTTTTTCTCAGTTTTTTTTTCAAATCATTAGAGATTTCGGTTAAGTTATTCTTACTGTAAAAAATAAGAAAATGCAAAAAAAAAAAAGAAAATCCGCATTTTGTTTTCTTGGTATAAGGACGCTATCTCGGATCGATGCACTTTGTCTTTGGTTGAGCCCTTGGAGAGGGGTGAATGGTAGCAGGCAGTATTGGTGTCTATAGTGTGATTGGCCCTGGCGCTGTGACCCTTTTTTTTTTGTGTCATCGGTCCGCTGCTTTCCTTTTTATTTATATACAGCACAGCTGCAGCCGACACGTCCACCCGCTGTCCCCGGCGATGTAAATAGCTCCCCCTAGTGTTGGAGGCAAACTCCAGCATGCAGTACTTAAATGCTTGGTGTACAGTAGTTTCTGATACTTGCAGACAAATCTGAGCAGTCGTCGCAGTTGGACTCCTTATTAAGAATGTGAATGTTCAGGCTTAAAAAGAAGTATCAGCAGAACTGGAAAATTGATGTTGAATCCTCTAGGGTGGGGGACTCCAAACTATGGCCCAAGGGCCACATCCAGCCCACTTCAAGATTTTATTCGGCTTCCCAGAGGATTTACGGTCAGCAAAGGCTGCTTCTGATGAATGAGGAACTCTGATGGGGACCCTGATGTAAGGGGGGGCTCTATTAGGCACCCTGATGTGGAGGGGCTCTGATAGGACCCTGATGTAAGGAGGGGCTCTAATTGGGAACCTGATGTAGGTGAGACCCTGATATAAAGGGGGGCTCTAATGGGGACTCTGATGTAAGGAGAGATGATTCTGATAAGACGCTGATGTAAGAGGGGCTCTGATGGGACCCTGATGTCAGAGGGGACTCTGAAGGGACCCTGATAAAAGACTCTGAAGGGACTGATGAAGAGGGACTCTGAAGGGACCCTGATGGAAGAGGGGACTCTGAAGGGACCCTGATGGAAGAGGGGACTCTGAAGGGAACCTGATGGAAGAGGGGACTCTGAAGGGAACCTGATGGAAGAGGGGACCTGAAGGGACCCTGATGGAAGAGGGGACCCTGATAAAAGCGGGGACTCTGAAGGGACCCTGCTGTAAGAGGGGACTCTGAAGGGACCCTGATGGAAGAGGGGACATTGATGGGGACCCTGATGTAAGAAGTGACGTTGATAGGGGACACTGAAGGGACCTGATGTAAGGGGATGTTGATGGGATCTTGATGTAAGGGGGGAGCTCTGATGTACAGGATTCTGCTGATGCCATGTGAGCTTGCATTATTCAGATCGTTGAGAATAAAGAGGGAGCGGTGGCTGCAGAGCTATGCTGTAGATCCCCCAGAAAGCCGTGTGGTTGATCTCTGCTCTTTCTGCCGATATCAGTGGCATGAGCGAACTCCTAAAACTTGCCTGTGTGCTCCTGCTTGGTTTCTACAGCCGATCGATGGGGGACACATCTGTTGATTAGCGACAGGATGCAAGTACAGCATTATATCCCCTTGTCTGTGATATTCCAATACCTCCTAATCCAGGGGTAGGCAACCTGAGTGCCGCAGGACTACAAGTTCCATCATGCCTCTGCAAGTCATAGCTGTAACTGTCAGTTTTGTAATCTTTGCAATGCCTCATGGGAAATGTAGTTCTGCAACAGCTAGAGAGCCGCAGCCGGGGTTGCCTGCCCCTGGTCTAGAGAGCCGCGGGTTGCCTGCCCCTGGTCTAGAGAGCCGCGGGTTGCCTGCCCCTGGTCTAGAGAGCCGCGGGTTGCCTGCCCCTGGTATAGAGAGCCGCGGGTTGCCTGCCCCTGGTCTAGAGAGCCGCGGGTTGCCTGCCCCTGGTCTTGCCTGAGAGCCGCGGGTTGCCTGCCCCTGGTATAGAGAGCCGCGGGTTGCCTACCCCTGTCCTAAGGGATTATCCATATGGAAATTTCTATTCTGTCACAAAAAGCAGAAATAAAAATGGACACAAAGTTCACGTTCTTTTACTTATTTTTTTTTTTTAATCACCTTTAGTCAACTTTTAATCCATTTTGTTCCCTCCCTTAAATTCCCTCAGTTTTTATAATGCCTTCCAGACCTTTTTTTTTTTTTTTTTTCTTTTTTTTTTTAGTTTATAATTAAAAATAAAATGAGAACAGACACTAGCTTTCCAATAAATAAAAAATAAACAAAAAAAAAAACAGAACTAGGGGGTCAAAACTGCATCATACTGTAGTTTTAGCTCTGGTTCACACTGGTACGGAATTTTCAGTACGAATTCTGCACCGCATCAGAATCGCATCTCGTTCATGCAAACCACTGCGGGTGCGTATGTTAACCCCTTGGCGCCGGCACCTCCCAGCCCTTTAAGGGTTTCAGAAGCCGGGAGGCGGGGTTTAGGGTCATGTGACTGCCGTGACACGCAGTCACAGCGGTCAAATGATTGGGAAAGGTCCCGATCGAAAGAGGAGATTGGGACCTTTCCGTGAGTACCGGACATGTGTGCTGAGAGCGCGCAGGGAGCACGCTCTCAGCACCTTTTTTTTTTTTTTTAATAGAATGCAAATGTGCGGCCCGCTCGGCGTCTAGGCCCAAACACCGGGAGGCCGTACATTTGCGTTCGGCCGGCGCAAAGAGGGTACGTTAACAACACCCCAAAAGCGGTCCGCAAAACACGGTGCGATGTGCAGAATCGGATCGCATAGGTGTGAATACCAACGTGATCCGATTCTAGTGCGGACCCAAAAAAGGGTCCTGCGCCTTTTTGGTGAGGGTGCGGTGCGATTAGAGCCATACAAAGTGTACAGCTCCGATCGCACCGCACACACATCACATGTGATCTGCACAGAATGCGGTGCGGTTCATGTACGAATCACATGCGATATATCGCACCGCACGTATGTGAACCCGGGCTTGATGTTGAATATTACATGCAAAGGATTTAAATTTGAACAGTTGAGTGATAAAACATACGCAGGTTATCCTTCTGCTTTAAAAAATAATATGCAGTAAAATCGATCAAAAGATACATTTACACATAAAAAAAATTCTTCCAACCAGATTCAAGTTTCCATTTTTTACAGTAAACTTTCGAGATGAAAGTTGAGATCTGATTGGCAGTTGTAGCTTCCTTAGTCCCCCCCCATTTGCTACATGTGCTTTGCTGCTGTCCGCTTGGAAAGGTTCCTCTTTATTTGGGACGATCGCTTGTAAAAAGGGAGGGGGGGAGGGGCTTGCACGCTGTGCTACAATAGTGCCTGCTACTACTACTACTACTATGTAGATCACTAGCTTTTTTTTTTGGTAACATTTTAGATCATTGCATAGAGGATCTAGTAAAATTAGGTCCAATTTGTAAAAATAATATATTTTTTCTTTTTTTTTTTTTTTTTTTCCTCGCGGGCTTAGCAGGGAGGGCTGTACTTCGAGATGTACCTGCTTGTAATTTAAGCGTTTTCCCTCCCCATGTCTATATTTGTATGTGAGACGGCTGTACAGTGTAACCAGAAGCGACTTGCTGAACTGCCACAGCATAACATCCTCCTGTATGTGAATAATTTGAATAATATGTATTATTAAATAAATACTAATTCTTTCTCATGTCTTTTGTTTTTATTACCGTTTCCCCTAAAATTACACCTAGTACTATTTTTGGGAATTGCTAAAGTTTAAGACCTACCCCGAAAATAAGACCTACTTGTGATCAGCCGGAACATGGCGGAAAGCAAAGCATGATCCAATTTGCTGCTGCAGGGAAGACTAAGGCCACATTCACAGTATAGCGTTTTGTGAACGTGCGCAAAATTTCAGTTCATGCTTTGCTGGGTTTTTTTTGCCTTCCTCTGGATCAACTGTGGGTGTAGGATTATAACTTTTTTTTTTTTTTTTTTTAATGGTTGAATTGAATGGACTTTTGTTTTTTGTTTTTTTCAGCCAGACTAACTATGTAACTTCCTCCTCCTGTCCAGACTTGCTGTGCCTCTCTTCTGCCGGCCTGGCAGTGAGACATGCTGCCCAGACTTCGGAGGGGTACCCACCAGGGGCATCCCTAGGGTTGGTGCCACCCAGTGCGGTAACACTTGGTGACACCCCCTCTGACGATTCCCGTAGGATGGTTCGGATCTGCGGATTGAGCATAATGGATCGGAGTCCGATCCATTATGCTCCCCAATCCGCAGATCTGATTCATCCTGCGGGGATCGTCGGCATGCAACCTATACGGGGTGACACCGGACCTGCTCCACGAAAAGGTAAGTTGTAAAGAAAGACGATCCCCGCAGGATGGATCCGATCCATTATGCTCTCCCCAATCCACAGATCCCATCCATCCTGCGGGGATCATCGGCATGCAACCTATACGGGGTGACTCCAGACCCGGTCCACGAAAAGGTAAGTTGTAAAGAAAGCCGACGATCCCCGCAGGATGGATCCGATCCATTATGCTCCCCAATCCACAGATCCATCCATTCTGCGGGGATCATCGGCGGCTGCAAACCTATACGGGGTGACACCAGACCCGGTCCACGAAAAGGTAAGTTGTAAAGAAAGCCGACGATCCCCGCAGGATGGATCCGATCCATTATGCTCCCCAATCCGCAGATACCATCCATTCTGCGGGGATCGTCGCCTGCAACCTATACGGGGTGACACCGGACCCGCTTCACGAAAAGGTAAGTTGTAAAGAAAGACGACTACGGATTGGGGAGCATATTGGATCGGATCCATCCTGCGGGGATCGTCGTCTTTCTTTACAACTTACATTTTTGTGGAGCGGGTCCGGTGTCACCCCGTATAGGTTGCATGCCAACGATCCCCGCAGGATGGATGGGATCTGCGGATTGGGGAGCATAATGGATCGGATCCATCCTGCGGGATCATCGTCTTTCTTTACAACTTACATTTTTGTGGAGTGGATCCGGTGTTGGTCGAACCTGCCTCGGGATGCCACTGGTACCCACCACCAGGACACTAGTGTAAGGGAGAGTGGGGAGGGGTGCAATGTATGGCATCCAGGGAGTGAGAGTATGGGGGTGGCAGTCTCCACATGCTGTGCTACACACGCCGCAGAACTTTTTTTTTTTTTCTTCTTTCACTCTCTCACCCCAAACTCCCCCCCCCCCATGTTTTCTTTTCTTATTTAATTTGTTTTAACAAAAAAAATTTATATTTTTAGTTTTCAGCCAGCAATTGGTCACTTTTAGATGCGATCTGTTGCTGCAGAGCTGCATGAGGGGATGGATCAGCTCTATAATGACCGATCCAGCACCCCGATAAGCAAAAAAAAAGAAAAAAAAGGATCTTAATACATTTTATAAGTTAGAAAAAAAAGGTGCACCTTAACATATAAAAATCATACATGACTTTTGGATGCAACAGACCGCATGTGTACAGTGTTGCAGTGAGAATGTGTCACCCCTGCTGGAACAGTAAGTTGGGGTGTCATTCAGAATGAACATGTAACACATGCATGCACGTGATACACAGGTTATCATGCGTTATGGTAATGTATGGTAAGACTTTGCTTCTGGGCATACCTGAGGCCCCCTATATTAACCACTAGACACCCACGAGTCCACGGGTGGTTTCTGTGCCTAGAGTGAGGCTGCGGTGTTCCCCCCCAGTACAGAGACTGAGCTGTCAAGGACAGCTCCTGAGCTCTAGAAATGATCAGGAGCCAGCGGGACTGTCTCCCGATCATGGGACCACTATGAAAGCCAATCACTTTGGCTCATTCCCTGCCCCCCTCTCCAGTGTATGATCATCACTTTCCAACTGGACCATAGACAATGATGTCCTCGGTTGGAAGTGGAATACCAAGGTTATGGCTGCAGCAATATGCCATAAACCCGGTATTGGTTTTTTATATCCGGCGATTCCATAACTGCTGAAAGTGATCCGAGCAGCAGTTTCACCACTTTTTAGAAGTGGCAGGACGAGTCAACCCCCCCTTCCACTCCGCTTTTCAGTGGTTCCCAGGTTTACCTGGATGATCGGTAGCCCCTGAGAACCGATACAGCGCATGATCAGAGATGAGTGGAGGAAAGATGGCCTCCGCCCATCTCTATGGTCTAGGACAGGGGTAGGCAACCTGCGGCTCTCCAGCTGTTGCAGGACTACAAGTTCCATCATGCCTCTGCAAGTCATAGCTGTAACTGTCAGTTTTGTAATGTTGCAATGCCTCATGGGAAATGTAGTTCTACAACAGCTAGAGAGCCTCAGGTTGCCTACCCCTGGCCTAGGAGGACTGGAGGAACGTCATGACGTCACTGCCAGTTATGGCCCAATGTAAAGAAGGCCTTTTTTTTTTTTTCCCAAGTATTAGATCAATTTTTTTTTTTTCATCTAATACTTTACATTTTAGAGGAGACATGTGGGGTCTTATTGACCCCAGATCTCTCCATAAGGAGGACCTGTCCCTTTTTATTTCTATCACATGGAATGTTTACATTCCTTGTGATAGGAATAAAAATGATCCCAAAAAATAATTGTAAGGGACAGTATAAAAATAAAAAAATGCAATAAAAGAAAGAATTACTTAAATTTTTAAAGCACCCCCGTTGACCCATGCTCTGTTCACGTGCAGTGGTGAACGCATATGTAAAGTAAATGGTGATCGCACCACACATGTGAGGTATCGCCGCAACATCAGAGTAAGAGCAATCGTTCTAACACTAGGCCTCCTCTGTAACTCTAAACTGGTAACCTGTAGAAATGTTTAAATCATCGCCTGTGGAGATTTTAAGTACCAGAGTTTTGCGCCATTACACAAGTGTGCGTAATTTTACAGCATGACTTGTTAGGTATCTATTTACTCGCTGTAACATCATCTTTCATATTTTACAAAAATTTGGCTTATATATTGTGTTTTGTTTTAATTAAAGTGTATTTTTCCCCAAAAAAACTGTGTTTGAAAAGTCGCTGCACAAATACCGTGTGATGTAAAAAACTGCAACGACCAGCATTTTACTCTCTAGGGCCTCTGCTAAAAAAAATATATATATATGACCGTGCTTCTGGAAGCACATTTGTCAGGTCAGGCACTGATGTCGGGGGAGGAGGCCTGGCTCACAGTCTCCACTCTAATTCGTCCCAAAGGTGTTCTATGGGGTTGAGGTCAGGACTCTGTGCAGGACAGTCAAGTTCCTCCACCCCAAACTGGCTCCTCTATGTCTTTATGGACCTTGCTTTGTGCACTGGTGTGCAGTCATGTTGGAACAGGAAGGGGCCATCCCCAATCTCTTCCCACAAAGTTGGGAGCATGAAATTGTCCAAAATGTCTTGGTATGCTGATGTCTTAAGCGTTCTCCTCACTGGAACTAGGGGGCCAAGCCCAACCCCTGAAAACACCCCCACACCATAATCCCCCCTCCACCAAACTTTACACTTGGCACAATGCAGTCAGGCAAGTACCGTTCTCCTCGCAAGCACCAAACCCAGACACGTCCATCGGATTGCCAGACAGAGAAGCATGATTGGTCACTCCAGAGAACACATCTCCACTGCTCCAGAGTCTAGTGGCGGCGTGCTTTACACCACAGCATCCAACACTTTGCATTGCACTTGGTGATGTAAGGCTTGGATGCAGCTGCTCGGCCATGGAAACCCATTCCATGAAGCTCTCTACGCACTGTTGTTGTGCTCATCTGAAGGCCACACCAAGTTTGGAGGTCTTTAGCTATTGACTCTGCAGACAGTTGGTGACTTCTGCGCACTGTGCGCTTCAGCATGCGCTGACCCCACCCTGTCATGTGACGTGGCCTACCACTTGGTGGCTGAGTTGCTGTTGTTCCCAGTTGCTTCCACTTTGGTATAATCCCACTAACAGTTGAGCGTGGAATATTTAGTAGCCAGGAAATGTCACGAATGGACTTATTGCACAGGTGGCCACCTATCACGGGACCACGCTTGGAGTCACTGAGCTCCTGAGAGCGACCCATTCTTTCACCAATGTTTGTAGAAGCCGTCTGCATGCCTAGGGGATGATTTTATACACTTATGGCCATGGAGGGGATTGGAACACCTGAATCACATGATTTGGCGGGGATTGGAACACCTGAATCACATGATTTAGCGGGGATTGGAACACCTGAATCACATGATTTGGCGGGGATTGGAACACCTGAATCACATGATTTGGCGGGGATTGGAACACCTGAATCACATGATTTGGACGGGTGTCCCAATACTTTTGCCAATATAGCGTATATAATGTTTTGGGGGTTCCAAGTAATTTTCTAGCAAAAAAAAAAACAGATTTGTTCATCTATGAGAGAAGTGTCACAATTGTCCTGGTAGCCAAGTGGTAAAGTGTACCTTTAGTTCAACGCCGAATGTAAAGAGGCAAAAGACACAAATCATTTTTTTATTCAATTAATTTTTTTTATTAGTGCCAAAATCTTGTTGCCTTTCAGATTTCCACTTTCCTGCACTGTAAACACAAACCCTCTTCCATTGTGAATAAAGACAACATACATCAAGACACCAATACGCAGTATATAGATTTATAGAGATTGTTTGTTTTTTCCGATAGATTGATTCTTTGGTGGTGGGAAGGGAATTCGCCATGAAGATGCCATGGAATAATTTATTTGCCTTGTAAACAATATTACTTTTATTATGTCATGAATTCACCAAATAAAAAATACATATGACAACATTTTTATCTATGAATATATATCTTTTCTTGCGTTTAAAGTGCACCTGTTGCCCGCAGCCAAGTTACCATATGCAGTCACCAGCACGCTTTTGATCCGGAAGCCTCCCTTTGCGCCGGGCACGTTACCGCAATGCACGGCTCTAGGTGTGGTGCGTTGCAGCGCCATTCATTGTGAGTGTTCCCCCGATGAACAGCATGGTAGCAGCCATTGTATCACAGCACACCAATAAAAAAATGCTATGTGCGGTTTTTTTTTTAACCGTTGCAGTACACTGACAGCCCATTCATTCGATGGGGCTGCTTTAATGAGATCTGCATTAACGTGCAACATGACGAAAAATTTGAATCCGCCCTTTAAATTTTGGGTTAAAAGATGTCACCCTCCTGCAGAAAAACATGGCGGTTTCTTAAGTCATATGTGAACACTGAAGGTGTAGTAGGACAAGAGCCATGGTGTTACATATAGGTTCCAGCCAGGGGCGGACTGACAACTCATGGGGCCCCCTGGCAATAGGGGATCATGGGGCCCCTGTGTCCTTACCAAAACTCAAAAAAGCCTATGAAAAAGGTACCAGGGGCATTTCATGGGGCCCCCTACTGACCCCGGGCCCTCGGGCAGTGCCCGAGTTTGCAAATGGTCAGTCCGCCCCTGGTTCCAGCTAATAATTGGCTGAATCCCCATTGATATAGCTTAGGTCAACAAAATGGTAGACTTGACCACAATGGTGACAGGTCCACTTTAAACCTCATGATCTTGCACTGGCACTGCATTACAGGTCAGTGGATCATAAAAAAAAAAAGCCTGACCCAAGTAGCCATTTTTGGTGTAGACAATATTGTGGCCAAGAATCTAGTGATGGCGTCAAGTTCCTAGAGCTTCTGACTGGTCTGGTTTAGAACAAAATGGCGCCCCCCCTACTGCTTGATGGCGACAGTGCGCTTTTTATGAGAGCTTGTTCCGTCAGGCTTTTGAAGACGGACATAATATATGATGTGTCAATAAAGATTGTGTTTTTAAACATACGTTAACCCTTACCACAGCCACGGAGAGCGGTTTAACAACCGGCTAGGCTGCCGTGACGGCGGCAAGGATGCCCGTTTAGCGATTTCACAAATACAGGAAATTACGACACGAGGGATTTGACCTACTCCAAAAGTGCAACGTAAAAACACGTGAAGAAGACAACGGACGCGTGTGTGAACACGAAACGGCTTAGAACTGCAGCTCCTTCTGGATGCCCCAGAGTGTGTCTGCGCTCTTCTTAAGACGGTCCTCCTCGTCCTTCTTCAGGGTCATGTTGATGACGTCTGTGATGCCCTGATTGCTGAGAACGGACGGTACGCTGAGGAAGACTTCATCGTTCACGCCATACATTCCCTGCAAGAGAAAAGGTGAGGAAGATTTGTGCCTTTCACTAGAGGGCCATGCTAACTTTTTGCATAAAAGAGCACACAAAACAGTCCCATCAATACTGTCCAAAATGGCCTAATCATGGAGACCATATCCACCAAATGACTCGCCGCATGTCATCCACCCACTCCAATGTGTTTAGTCCAAAAAGGCTTAACCATGGAGAGCACATCCAAATTACGTGCTGCCTGTGATCCACATGCTCCAACGCATTTCACCCAAAAACGCTTACTCATGGAGACCAGGGTCAAAACACGTTGAATCGGTTGGATGACAGGTGGCAAGCCACTCGGTGGATATGAGTTAGCAGAACAAATTTTCTTTAACCACTTCCTGTCCAGCCCATGTATATAAATGGACCGGACGGTGTCAGTTCAGGGTCGGGTGGCCCCGCCCCCTGCTTGTGCACGCTCCCTGGGAACACCGATTGTCAGACGGGACCTCAGTGCGAGGTCCCGATCATGTGATCACTGATTAGTCGATCAGTGATCACATGCAGAGTAGTAAGCAAGACGTTATTTCTGACATCATTGCTTTACTACGTGTGAAATCTGTGAATGATCACAGAGGTCACATGGTACAGGGCTAGTCACAACAGCCTTGTACCATGTGACAAGCTGTGACCAATCACAGCTCTCACAGTATTTCTCAATGGCTGCAAGAATGCAGCCAGAGAGAAGGAGAAATGATTGCTTTTACAGCCTTAATAGGTGTAAAAGCAATCAGTGTAAAAAAAAAAATCTTCATCACCCCCCACAAGTAGTACAGTGTCACCATGGTAACATTGTACTTCTAGGGTGACAGTATGATAAAAAAAAAAAACATAAATAATAATATTTAAAAAAAAATAAAAAGGTAAAAAATTTTTTTGAAAAATTATAATTTTTATAAACTAAATTGGGTTATTTTTTTTACTAAAAAAAGAATGCAGCCAGAGAGAAGGAGAGATGATTGCTTTTATACCCATAAAGGCTGTGAAAGCAATCAGTGTAAAAAAAAAAAAAAATCTTCATCATACCACACAAGTAGTACAGTGTCACCATGGTGACACTGTACTGCTAGGGTGACAGTATGTTTAAACATAAATATAAAAAAAATATAATTTTTCAAATTTTTTTTACATTTTTATTTTAATTTTTGGTTATAAACCAATTTGGGTATTTTTTTTAATAAAAATATAACTGAATACATTTTGGCCAAGATTTATGAAGAAAGATTATTTGCAAAATTTTATAAGAAAAACACTTTTTTCAACATTTTTGGACTTTTTCATTTACATAGCAAAACAAAATAAAAATCCCAGCGGTGAATAAATACCACCAATATAAAGTTTTATCTGTCTCAGAAAAATGCTAAAAAAATTCATATGGTTACAGTGTTGCATGACCGCGCAATTGTCATTCAAAGTGCGACAGCGCTGAAAGCTGAAAATTGGCCTGGACAGGAAGGGGGTAAAAGTGTCCGGACTGGAAGTGGTTAAGTACGTTGCAGTCTTAGGGCTTCTACATATGGGTGAATGATGGAATTTTCTACCCAGTGCCCATGTTAAGCCCGGGTTCACATATATGCGGTGCGGTATATCGCATGTGATTCACACAGGAACCGAACTGCATTCCTGCGCAAATCACATGTGATTTGTGTGCGGTGCGATCGAAGCCATATATTTTGTATGGCTCTAATCGCACCGCACCCGCACTGGGTCTGCACTAGAATCGGATCGCATGGGTATTCACAGCTATGCGATCCGATTCTGCACAGCGCACTGCGTTTTGCGGACTGATTTCGGGGTGTTAACCCGCAGCGCTTCGCATGAACGGGGTGCGATTGTGATGAGGTGTGGAATTCGCACAGAAATGCTGCAAATTCAATGTGAACCCGGGTAAATCTCACCTAAATCAGGTAAATATATTTAGTTACATTTCATTCTCTTTAAAAAGTCGCCACAGACTGAGTAGAAAAGCCTGTCCCCTCCAGCCGGGTACAAGCAAAGGCCCCTTGCTTTCTGTGAAGAAGCGGTAGTGCCTGCATGGAGGTTCAGCGTGCCCCCTGCTAAGTCAGACCTATAGCTCTGTAGTTCGGTAAATTCCATGCTCCCTGTCCATTGGGGCGCTCTGACTCAATAGGGGGCCTATGCAGAGAGACCACTGCTTCCAAGGGCCCTTCTCTACAGCAAGCTGGCAGGGGACGGGCTTTTCTACTCAGACTGAAAGTTCAGTTACCAAAATCCTTATGACTGCCTCTTCTATGTTGGATTTAAAAGGAGCCAGAAAAAAAAACCTGGTAAGCAGTATATGTTGGTGACACCTCTTGTTACCGCGATGGCCTGTAAGTGTTATGCAGTAGATATGACCCTGGGAGGAACCTGCAATATACAAGTACCTACCTTGATCATGGTGGAAATGGGGTGCACACGCCTGAGATTCTTCAGCATGGTTTCAGCCAGATCCGCCACCGAGAGGCCGATGGCCCAGGATGTGTAACCCTTCAGCTTAATCACCTCGTAGGCACTGCAACCGAAAAAAAAAGCAAACAAAAGATTCCCGTCAACGATACTGGCCTAACTCTGGAATATGTCCTACATACCCTCTCAGAGTGGACCTCTTGTTCAAGATCTTCACGAACCCCCCGCTAACAGCAGATGAGCCGTGGTTGTTAAGGACACAACGGGTGCCGGCTGCTTAACAACCAGCTATTTCCTGGTTGTTAATGACACTGGCGGGTGCTGGCTCCTTAACAACCAGCGGTATTCATTAACGAACAGGCGGATAGACCACAACATATTTACTGAATGGTTTGGTTTACATTTTAATTTTAGTGTATTCGCTTTTAAGTAGGGTTATATGGTATTTACTGAGCGTTCTTATTTTTTTGGGTAAATATCACATCATCCTATAGTGAATTGAGCTTTTCAGTATCGCATGCCATATTTGGATACATGATCCAAATATCGCATGCAATCCCCATATGGAAAAAAATATATATTTGAAAAATATTATTTTAAATATATTGCCATTATATTTGAAATGCTAATTTTGGCTGTATGCAATATGTTTGCTACAACAATATATTTCAATTTTTACAAAAAAAATTTCAATATAATACACATACACAGCTACAGGTTGAAATGCATTTTTATTACAAAATAAATGAAAAAAATATTTTTAAAGGTATGTATGTATTAAATATACTGTAGGTCTTTAAAAACACAAATATACACATTTTTTGGAATGACATTTCATGGGGTCCCCCCGGGCAATAGTTTAAAATGGGGCCCTTGTGTCCTTGCCCCCAACTCAAAAAAAAAAAAAAAAAGGTAAGAATATATGTTTGAAAAAAAGTGCCCGATTTCCAAAAAATCTATATTTTTTCATATGATATTCACATACATTTACATTTTTACACATATATAAAAATAGTACTTTTGAAAACCCTTTTAGGAAAATACAAGGTTTTGGAACTTAAAAATAATTTCAATTTTATTTGTCTTTTAAAGTTCAAACTACTTTTTGGAATGCATTTACCTAAGCCATTTCAAAACTTTTTTATGTAAAAAAAACATCCTGATTTGTAATTTATTAAAACTAATATTTTTGAGATCAAACCAAAAAAAAAGATTTTTTTTTTAAGTTATAAATCAGATGATTTTACACACATTAAAAAACATGGGCATTCCAAATACGATTTGTCCTAATTTTTAACATACAGTATATTTGAAATGCATTTTTAAAAATATTTTTAATATACTTTGTAATAAAATTGCATTTCAACCTGCAGTATATATTTGAAATTTTTTTTTAAAAATATATTTTGAAACATATTGAATATGGTCAAAAATTTAGCATTTAAAATACATGGAAATATTTTAAAATATATTTTTTAAATATATTTCAAAATATTTTTCTTCCATGTGGGTCTCCTTTATTGAACTGAGCCCATAGTGCCATATAGTAAAATGTGAGAATCAGCAAATCTCACCCAGTAAGCAGAATGTATCCTAATATAAAAGGATTAAGCATGATAACTGTGGTACATCAGTACTGTGTTCCTCTGTGACAGAACGACCAGTGGGAGAAACCACTGCACCCAGCCATGCCGTTCAAGGTGTGGGATGTGCCGCCAATCTGATCTTCCATGTGAAATGATTACCCTCTTACCTGTCCACCACTTGTTTGTGAACTTCCTTCCAGTTCTCCTTGTCGGAGTCAGAGCCCATGTCTGGGTTGAGAGTCTTCAGAGACACGCCGGCCACGTTCACTCCACTCCATACAGGAACTGTGGAAGGGCGAGGATCACCAGAGTTATAATCAGGAAATCACACTGTATATGTAAACTGTCCTATATGCCAAAAGATTTGTAATTCTGTCCGGCCACTATTATGATTTCATACTCCTCCAGCACAGCACTGGTTGACAGGGCAAGAGACTTGTTTTTTCTTTGCCATAGTTGACCTGTTGCTACCCATGTAACCAGGGGCGGACTGACCATTTGGAAACTCGGGCACTGCCGGGGCCCGGGGTCAGTAGGGGGCCCCATGACATGCCCCTGGTACCATTTTTTCATAGGCTTTTTTTAAGTTTGGGCAAGGACACAGGGGCCCCATGATCCCCTATTGCCCGGGGGCCCCATGAGTTGTCAGTCCACCCCTGCATGTAACACATATTGCACCTATACGTGGAACATACGAGTCCCTGGGTGGCTGATATGTCTGTGCTGAGAGCGTTCTCAATGTGAGCTCCCAGCTGTCAAGTACAAATCTCGGTCCCCACTAATGATCGATAATTAGGCGGGACCAGCTCCTGATCATGTGACCACTGTGACAGCCTATCTTAGTGGTCACATGAATGCCGATCCTTCCCTCTACCCGGGCATACAGACCCTATTTAAGGTCAAGGCTGAGGGAAGGGGCTAAAGTGTTCCTAAATCCTGGATCCCTGCATTCACTATATCCGGTCTCCCCGGACCCCGCATTCACTGTATCCGCTCTCCCCGGACCCTGCATTCACTATATCCGCTCTCCCCGGACCCCGCATTCACTATATCTGGTCTCCCGGACCCGCATTCACTATATCCGCTCTCCCCGGGACCCCGCATTCACTATATCCGCTCTCCCAGGACCCTGCATTCACTATATCACCGCTCTCCCCGGACCCCGCATTCACTATATTTGGTCTCCCCGGACCCCGCATTCACTATATCCCCGCTCTCCCTGGACCCTGCATTCACTATATCCGCTCTCCCCTGAACCCACATTCACTATATCTGGTCTCCAGGACCCTGCATTCACTATATCCGCTCTCCCCCGGGACCCCGCATTTACTATATCCGCTCTCCCCGAACCCCACATTCACTATATCTGGTCTCCCCTGGACCTTGCATTCACTATATTCACCCTCTCACCGGACCCTGCATTCACTATATCCGCTATCCCTGGACCCTGCATTCTCTAAAGTTGCATGACAAGTTGCATCCCCAGGTTTCCCCAATGATAACCATTCATATCTGTGTGACTTCAAAGTAGTTCCTGCATTACTTTCGTCCGACAATTTTCATACGGTTTGAGGGCCATAGACTTCAATGTAAACCCTCCAAAGTCGCACCTGAATGATATACATGCGACTTGTGTGCAACTTTGTAGAGCACAAACAATCATCATTGGTCAAAGCCAAAATCGGACTCATCCAAAGTCGCACTGTAAAGCCGCAATGAAAATCGCACGAGTGTGAATGGGCCTAACTATCACCGTATGATTACTGTGCAAACTCCACTGATCCAAAGCCACAGCTCTGCAAACACTCATAATACCACAATAATATTACATAAGAAGCCTTGGATGGCAGCCAGTGGAGTATGGACTTCTGATCTACGGTAACTGACCCCGACCATGCAGGTTAATATATAACTGCCACTTTCCACTGCTAGAAAAATCAATCTGCAGAGAGTAGATTAGAGTTATCTCAGCGGCCTGCAAACTGCAGCCCAAGGGCCAGATACCGCCCTTTACATGCTGAACATGTGCAGTTTAGGTGGGTGGTTGTGGGGGTGTAAAATCGTGGCACAACCACCTGATTTTATCGCCCCTTTGGCTGCTCATGTCAACAAGCCTGCAGGTTGAACAAAAGAAATCTACATGTGTAAGGCCAGTCTAAGGATTTGCAACTCTGTATAGGAAAAAAAAATGCAAATATGGTACATAAGGCATGTAAAATACAAAAGGCCAATGCAAAGTAAGCCAACCTGAACTAAACATCCACCCGTGAAAAACACTCGAATCCCCTCTGAGTGCAAGCGCCTGTATTTACAACCAGCTTGACTCAATGTGTTGCAGAAAATGACAACAATCTAACATAAAATATGATTGGCTGCGACATCATCATTGCTCTTTAAATGGACGTATTCATGGGCAGCACAATGGCTAAATAGTTAGCACTTCCGCCTGGCTAGTACTAGTAATGGCGGGATCAGCGATATCTGACACGGTGGGGGGGGGGGGGGGACTGACTTGGTGTCACTGACATCCCCAGTGACACCAAAACAGTGGTCAGTGCTAATAAAAAGCACCGATACTGTACTAAGGGCACTGGGCAGGAAGGGGTTAACATCTGGGGCGATCAAAGGGTTAACTGTGTGCTTTACTGTAAGCACACTGCTTTGTATGACTGTTCTATGCAGAGCCATGCAAAGCAGTGTGCAGGAGCTGACAGGGGAGAGAACTGTACTGTTTACAAACAGTTCTCCCCCCACCTTCCCCATTGGAGATGCTTGGCAATCACCGGACACCGGCGGGGGTAATCAATGGCCAGGACCCGGTGATTGACAGCCGAGGCCGCAAATGGCGACGCGGGTAGGACCACACAGGCACTCCCTCCAACTGAGCCTGCAAAATCATATATATATATACATGCGAATATTGCGCACCCATGCCACCCTGTAGCAGTACTTCTGCTATAGGGTGGATGGGAAGCGGTTAGTTGTTAAAATTGTTAATTTTGTATTGACAATAATCATGCCTCATTCTGGGGATTATTTGTAAGTGCCGCGCCAACGACTGACACCTTCCTGCCGTGAGTTTAGCACAGTGGCTAAGTGGTTAGCACTTCCCCCTGGCAGTATTGGGGTCCTTGGTTCAAATCCCAACCACGGCACCACCTGCCTGGAGTTTGCATGTTCTCCCTGTGCCTGCGTGGGTTTCCTCCGGGTACTCCAGTTTCCTCCCACACTCCAAAGACATGCTGGTAGATTAATTGTATCCTGCCTAAATTATCCCTAGTATGTGTATGTATGAATGTGAGTTAGGGACCTTAGATTGTACGCCCCTTGAGGGTTAGGGACTGACGTGATTTTTTATATATATATATATATATATATATATATATTATATTTTTATTTTTTTTTTAATATATATAAAATATATATATATATATATAAAAATATGTGTGTATGTAATGCGCTGCATAAGTTGATGGTGTTATACAAGTACCTGTAATAAATAAAAATATTCAATACTCTGAATGTGTTCCATCGAAGCCGGATTTATGATTCAGCTGGTTCATGGAGTCTGACATTCAGCGCAGCAACTGTTTTACAGTAATGTGACCTTTCCGGCCCTTTAGGGTGAAGGCCGCAGCGTCTGACCTACTTGGGTTACACTGGTGACCTTTCCGAGAGGATAAATTTAGAAGACATCTTGGGTTACTTAAGGCTCTGCCTAAAAATACTCTCCACCACACTCACCGCTGGAGTCTCCGTGTTCACCGATGACCCAGCCGTGACAGCTCAGCGAATTGATCCCCAGTTTCTCTGACATGAGGTAGCGGAAACGGGCCGAGTCCAGATTGCAGCCGCTGCCGATGACACGGTTTTTGGGGAAGCCGCTGATCTTCCAGGCCACGTAGGTCAAGATGTCCACTGGGAACGAAGAAGAAAAAGAATCGGATCTGATATTCGTTTGACTTTGTATCATTTTGTAAAATCTATTAGTTGCCTTGTGAATATTGTGACTGTGCAAGAGACATAGATTTACTGTGACGTCTATCACACTAATAGAATGAGGTTCTTGGAGGAAATAAATACGTTTTAGACCGGGTTCACATACTGTGGGTAAAGTGCAGCAGATGGGGTGAGTGTTGCAGCCAAAACTGTGTGACTTTTATAACATTTTGGCCAGGATTGGGCGTGAAAGGTGGTTTTTATATAATACACTGTATAATAATAATAATACATTTGCTAAGTTTAGCAAAATTCAGCTTTTGATTCTATCACGTATTATTACTTAAAGACCAGCACCAGCCAAAACTTTTACTTTTTGACAGAGCCAGCAAGGTTGAGAACCAGGGCTATACAGAAGACAGATGCTGTTAGTTGCTAGGACACTGGCAGCCTGGGCCACATAGAATCATTGGTTGCTAGGACACTGGCAGCCTTGGCCACACAGAATCATTGGTTGCTAGGACACTGGCAGCCTGAGCCACACAGAATCATTGGTTGCTAGGACACTGGCAGCCTTGGCCACACAGAATCATTGGTTACTAGGACACTTTTAGCTCAGGCATACAGGATCATTGCTTGTTAGGATGCAAATCACTGGGCTGCACAGGCTGCTGCCTGCACCATACAACCAGTAGGACAACGTGCGGCTTTTGATTCTATCACTCATTATTACTTAAAAGACCAACACCAGCCAAAACTTGGTTTTTGACAGAGCCAGCAAGGTTGAGAACCAGGGCTATGCAGAAGGCAGATGCTGTTAGTTGCTGCTAGGACACTGGCAGCCTGGGCCACACAGAATCATTGGTTGCTAGGACACTGGCAGCCAGGGCCACACAGAATCATTGGTTGCTAGGACACTGGCAGCCTGGGCCACACAGAATCATTGGTTGCTAGGACACTGGCACTGGCAGCTCAGGTGCATACAGGCCTTGGCCACACACTGGTTGCTAGGACACTGGCAGCCTGGGCCACACAGAATCATTGGTTGCTAGGACACTGGCAGCCTGGCCACACAGAATCATTGGTTGCTAGGACACTGGCAGCCTGGGCCACAGAACAGAATCATTGGTTGCTAGGACACAGGCAGCCTGGGCTAGGCACAGACTCATTGGTTGCTAGGACACTGGCAGCCTGGGCCACACAGAATCATTGGTTGCTAGGACACTGGCAGCCTGGGCCACGCAGAATCATTGGTTGCTAGGACACAGCCTGGCCACACAGCCTGGGACCACTTTTGGGCAGAATCATTGGTTGCTAGGACACTGGCAGCCTGGGCCACACAGAATCATTGGTTGCTAGGACCCTTGGCAGCCTGGGCCACACAGAATCATTGGCTGCTAGGACCCTTGCAGCCTGGGCCACACAGAATCATTGGTTGCTAGGACCCTTGCAGCCTGGGCCACACAGAATCATTGGTTGCTAGGACCCTTGCAGCCTGGGCCACACAGAATCATTGGTTGCTAGGACCCTTGCAGCCTGGGCCACACAGAATCATTGGCTACTAGGACACTGGCAGCTCAGGCCATACAGGATCATTGCTTGTTAGGATGCAAGTCACTAGGCACGCACAGGCATGCATACCAACCAGTGCCAAGTGCGGCTTTTGATTCTATCACTCATTATTACTTAAAAGACCAACACCAGCCAAAACGTACTTCTTGACAGAGCCAGCAAGGTTGAGAACCAGGGCTATGCAGAAGGCAGATGCTGTTAGTTGCTAGGACACTGGCAGCCTGGGCCACACATAATCATTGGTTGCTAGGACACTGGCAGCCTGGGCACACAGAATCATTGGTTGCTAGGACACTGGCAGCCCGGGCCACACAGAATCATTGGTTTGACACTGGCAGCCACATAGAATCATTGGTTGCTAGGACACCGGCAGCCTGAGCCACACAGAATCATTGGTTGCTAGGACACTGGCAGCCTGGCCCACACAGAATCATTGGATGCTAGGACACTGGCAGCCTGGCCACACAGAATCATTGGTTGCTAGGACACTGGCAGCTCAGGCCATACAGGATCATTGCTTGTTAGGACGCAAGTCACTGGGCCGCACAGGCTGCTGCCTGCACCATACCAACCAATGACAAAGTGCAGCTTGAGGGCTAAAGATACACAGGGCTGAACATGCACCAAGGACAGAATATCAAGTATGCAAAAGGCGACCACCTCAATTAGCCTCATGTGTGGCAGGGCCCTGATTGAATTGGTTACTGTGTAGTCACCCGGACAGGAAGCAAGCAGAACCTAGAGACAGCTTTGACCCTTTTCCACTTCACCTGAAACCAATTATTGTTTGCAGCCCTTTCTGGTTAGTGGCGGCACAAGCAACGACTCACCAGGGTTGGAGACGACGAGCAGTATGGCGTTTGGACTGTATTTTACAATATTGGGAATGATAAATTTGAAGATGTTGACGTTGCGTTGGACCAGATTCAGGCGGCTCTCTCCTTCCTGCTGACGAGCGCCGGCTGTGATCACCACCAGCTTGGAGTTGGCTGTAACACTGTAATCTGGAACAAAGATGAAATATTCAATTAGCTTTGTATAGACACTTCTACGTTCATGTATTACACCACTACATGAATACAAAGCCACATAAGTGAGACCCAACGCATTATCGTACCTTTATCTCATCAAAATATTCATTTTACACAAGAAAATCCCTAATTGGTATAAAAAATTGTTTTTTCACACGAGATGACATTTCCTCTTTCATATGGAAGTTGTATAGATCAGCTTTGAGCCGTCACCACCTGTAACTCAGATGCAGCTCACGTCACACTGCAGAGCACACCTGCCCTGATCAAGAGTGCTTAAAGTGAACTATGGCCAAATTATACAATCAAATATTGGGGGGTAGACTGCCCATATCAGTAAGGAATTTAGGATCAAAAAATGTATACTAAAATCTTTACAAATTGACTTTTACAAAAGAAATGCTTTATGTATCTATAATGTAACAAACAGTAAATTCATTATGGCCTTTAGTAAATCTTTAGTAAAATTAAACTATAAAAAAATTCTGATTGTTTAAATTAGGGGTGCTCAACCTGTGGCCCGTGGGCCACGTGTGGCTCTCAGAGCCCTCTGATGTGTCCCTCGACCTCAAACCAGGAAAGCGCACTTCTATTAAATCCTGCAGGTTTGGTGTGCTTTCAGAAAGTGCCCCATACCTACAACATATAATGGACGTCTATGGCAAAGGGCAGCTAACCAGTGGGTAAACCGCAGTGGATCAGTGTGAAAGCAGCCTTATAGGGGGCTCAGAACTGTATGGGCTCATTTACATTTGTAGTTTGGGGCACAGTAACACCCCATAGTTGAGACGCGTTTTTATCACACACTGGTGTAACATCAGGGGTTGCAAGGGTGACCCCGTTCCATGCTCCAGGGGGCCCGTGCGGCCTCCCTGTCACATTCTGTTTTGCATTTGGACAGGAGGGGCTATCCTCTCCATTTTCCTCCTGCAACCATTGAAAGCCAGCTTCTCTCCTCCTCTCCCTCCTTCTGGCATTCAGCAGCTGTAGGAAGAAAATGTTCACTATGCTATTGAAAAAAAATTAAAACTTCTGAACAATTTCATTTCATTGTGGCCCCCCCGACCAGTTACCAAACCACTCAAGTGACCCTCGCTCTCCAAAAAGATTGAGCACTCCTGGTTTACATATTAAATGATACAGAAAATATCACATGCACTATTCTTCTGTGAACTGACACCAATGACAGTAGGGGCACGGCGTTTCTAAGGCTCCATGTACACGAGCCCACCCTGACCCCCAGCCGTGGGAAAATGAGCTTAGGAGCTGCTCGTGTACATGAGACCCAAGGAGCTGGAGGTTTAATAGAAACGAACACACCTTTGCTGGAGACAATCTTTGGGGTCTTCAAGAAAAGGCTGCCGTGCTGCAGATCCATCATTTCACCCTTCAGTTTGTCTTCCATCACATCAACCAGAGCAAGTTCGTCAGCCATCTCCTGCAAAATGAAGAGGATAAACCACATGGATGGCGTTCAATAGCAGCAGATGGACACTGGACTTGCCTTTTTGCTTGATGAGTTTTCAATTGAAATGAACGGAAATGAATGTGCATCATGGCTCACGTTGAGGTGCGTTTTGATGTGCTTCCATTAATCTCAAGGAAAAAGGGAATCGGGAGAAAAATGGACAGGTCTAAAGTGACCCACTGCAGGTATTCCATACTTCTAGGTTTGTCAAATAATTGCCCCCCCTGCCACAGACAGTGGTTCCTTCCACCAGCTCTTATGTCCTATAGTGATGTATGAGCTGGCAACAGGAAATACAGCGTGTGGCAGGGCAGCAGGTACTAGATGTAGCTCAGCTACAGTGGCTGGGAGCAGAAAAGAGACAGAATTTGATAAAAACAGGAAACCTTAAATGTAGGTATACATGGTTTTCTCTTGTTTAAAGGGGATCCTCCTCTCTGTGCCCCTGGGAACCTAGTTTCACTTTAGTGAAGACTTCGCCTCCGCAACATCTCCAAGATACGCCCGTTCTTAACCTCAGAAACTACTAAGCAACTTATTCCCTCCCTGGTTATCTCTCGCCTTGACTATTGTAACTCCCTCCTCACTGGCCGACCTCATCGCAGGCTATCTCCTCTTCAGTCTATCATGAATGCTGCTGCCAGACTCATCCACCTTACTAACCGTTCTGTATCTGCCACCACCTCTCTGACAATCTGACCTCCACTCAGTGTCCTCCATCCCTCTCTGCCATCCCTCCACTGCCTCCACTCAGTGTCCTCCACCCCTCTCTGCCAATCCCTCCACTGGCCTCCACTCAGTGTCCTCCACCCCTCTCTGCCAATCCGCCACTGGCCTCACTCAGTGTCCTCATCCCTCTCTGCCAATCCCTCCACTGGCCTCCACTCAGTGTCCTCCATCCCTCTCTGCCAATCCCTCCACTGGCCTCCACTCAGTGTCCTCCATCCCTCTCTGTCCACTCAGTCACTGGCCCCCCTTCCAATCCCTCCACTGGCTTCCCATTGCTCAATGAATAACATTCAAAGCATTAATAACATATAAAACCATTTATAACTCTGCTCCAAATTACATCACCATTTTTGTCTCCAAATATCACCCAAACCGTACTCTCTGCTCCTCCCACAACCTCCTACTCTCTAGCTCCCTTGTCTCCTCCTCCCATGCTCGTCTCCAGAACTTCTCCAGAGCCTACCCCATCCTCTGGAACTCTCTACCCCAATCTATCAGACTATCGCCTACTCTGACCACTTTTAAGCGATCTCTGAAAACCTATCTTTTCAGGGAAGCCTATCCTGCCCTCAGCTAATAACAGAATCTTCTATTCCTCCTACCAGTCCATCCCCCACAGTTATTACATTTTGTACCACCAGCCCCTCCCTCTTAGATTGTAAGCTCCATGGATCAGGGCCTTCCCAACCCTCTTGTATTGAACTGTATTGTTCCTGTATTGTCTCCCTTTATATTGTAAAGAACTGAGCAAACTGTTGGCACTATATAAATCCTGTATAATAATAAAGATTGTAAGCTCCAAGGAGCAGGGCCCTCAAACCCCTCGTGTATTGTATTGTTACTGTATTGTCTCCCTTTATATTGTAAAGCGCTGAGCAAACTGTTGGCGCTATATAAATCCTGAATAATAATAATAATTTAGGATGTAATGTAAATCTCCTGACTTTGGCACAAAGCCCTGCCAATTTGGCCGCCATCTGTACTGTGGCAGTGCCTCAGTGGCCAGTAACGACAGGGAAACGGTGGATGGGTAAAATAGTAAGAAAGTGAAACTAGTTTCAGAGAGGTGCACAGAGATTTTTTTTTTTTTTTTTTTTTTTTTAAATAACAGCAGGCATCTTGTATAAAATGGATGGCAAAGTCACTTTAATTGGGTTAAAAAATGATCAGGTAGTCCACTTATGAAAAAATAGTCAAACTCACCTTCTGCAGGACGCTGATGGCACAAGCCATGCCCACAGCGCCCACGCCAACGATGGTGACCTTACTGTGGGGGAGGAGGGAGGGTCGCTCAGCAGATTGTGGATCAGTTTCTCCTTTGTGCCGGCCATCTTGCTGTCTATGAAATAAACACAGTGGAATCTCAGTGCCGGGGTAAAGGGCGCACGGCGTTGCACATTAACCCACATTCGCTGTAATAATAAATAAAAGCTGGACTTGGCTGCAAAACGTGTGCAAGAACCAGACAACCCTGGGAGATGTCCTGTGACCCTCATCACCTAAGCAACCTATATTGCAGAGCAGAATTATTAGATTTATAATCATTTTATAGATTTATAATAAAGTTTTTGATTGCCAAAACGTTCGGTTGAACGTATTCGTCTGACGAGCAATTGTGCAATTTTCTGACGGTGTGTACATCATTTTCGACAGCCGATTCCGATCTTACAAACGAAAATTAACGATAGTGCAAACATCAAAATTTTTGTCGTTTGGGAACAGAACGAACGATTTTCATTTAATGTGTACAGTTTTCGTACGAGAAGAATTGGATACGAAAGACAGCGCATAATTGGAAGCTGCGTATGACCCGGAAGAACCTGAAGAAAATAAACACCACGGAATATTCGTAACATTACAACCATTAATGTCATCAAACAGTTCGGATACGGTATCCATGACTATTCCGAAAATTAGTCGCTGAGGGGAAAACAAATATGGCACCGAAAAGCGTGGCTACAGGGTCACACGTACATTACATAATTTCCACAGCTACGCTACGACGTTCGTACGCAATGCCTTTATATCGTACAATATTCTCATGCATAAAAGCACATGGCTTTCGACCAGCAGTGTACAATCGATGATAAACCGGACAATCGTTCGTCCCATTTTCTTATAGTGTATACGGGGCTTTAGACGGGCCCCCTGACCTTTAGCCTGGGTTCACATAAATGCGGTATATCGCATGTGACTCACACAGGAACCGCACCGCATTCCTGTGCAAATCACATGCGATTTGTGTGCGGTGCGATCGGATCCATACATGTTGTATGGCTCTATTTGCACCGCACCCGCACCAAAAACATGCAGGGCCCTCTTTTGGGTCCGCACTACAATCAGATCACATGGGTATTCACACCTATGCGATCTGATTCTGCACATCGCACCGCATTTTGCGGACCGCTTTTGGGATGTTTGCTCAACATACACACCCGCAGCGGATCGCATGAACGGGGTGCGATTCTGATGCGGTGCGGAATTCACACTGAAAAACACTGAGAATTCCGCACTGCATCAGTGTGAACCAGGCCTCAAGGCCCATGGAAAGTTGCAGCTTCTGCATCCCCCTATGTTATACTTATGCAGGCCATAGACGGGTCGAAAATGAGCAGAATTTTCGTCCGAAAAAAAAAAAAAAAAAAAAAACGGCCAATTTTCGCACCATTAGTGGGTTAATTTGTCAGCTGTTTTTCGGGGTTTTGCCACATTTTTTTTTTTTATCGGTAAAATTGGAAAATTCACGGCCGATTTTAAAATATGCCGATTTTCACAGCAATGATGGGCAAATCGGCCGATCGTTTTACCGATAAAAAATCTGCGCATGAGCCGTGACCTGCAAGAAGAAAAAGAAGCAAAAGAAGCAGAAAAAGCAGAAAAAGAATAAGAATTCCAGTCCGCGATTATATTTTGTATGAAAAGTCTTGCGGTTGCAACAATGTATCCATTTGTATCCGAATAAAAACATCTGTATCCGAAATGGATACAAATGGATACATTGTTGCAACCGCAAGACTTTATTCATGTAAAAATATAATAGTGGAGCTCTCTGCAAGGGACAGAAGTAAAAATGCCGGCCGTAGACGGGACGAAAATTGGCCGATTTTTTTACCATTGGTGGTAATGTCGGCTGATTGAACGACCGATTTTTTTTTTTTTTTTAAATAAATGGCCGGTTTTCGACCCGTCTATGGCCTGCATTAGGGCTTCATGCACACTGGGGCTTTTGTAAACACTTTTCTCTTGCCAGGAGAATAGAACACGCCTAAATTACATTTTTGCAAACGCATTTAGTCTCCATGCACACGGGGCGCTAAGTCACTGTGTAAAGTCACGTTAAAAACATGAGTTTTTCAGCTTTTTTTTTTTAGAGGTCTTGCATTAGCGTTTAGCGGCGTTTTACCACGGCTCCAAAAAAGTCCAAAAATGCCGGTTTGCGGCATTTTACTGCGATTTGCACCGTTTTTCAGCGTTAGTGTGTTTTTACAGCTAAAAAACTCCTCTAGAAACCCACTCCTCCAGCCAAAAAACTTTGATTACAGTCAATGTGCGCACGGATACATAGGATAACATGCTGGGGGGTTTACTGGCTGTAGAAGAAAAAAAAAAAAAGTCTGTAAAAATGTCCAGTGTGCATGAGGACTTAAGCGCATCAAGCGCTTGGACATTTCTTTATTTCTTTGGCCAGAATATTAATTTATTCTGGCCACTGAAATGAAGAAAAAAAACAAAACGCTCAAGCGGTAAACATGTCTAGCGCTTAGGTGCATTTAGACACGTTTACACGCACCAGGCTTTCTTTGTGGCCAAAAGCTTTTCTCCCGAACGCACATTTGGTGCATTCTGCCCATAAATGCCCCTGCCTCTAAATGCCTAAGTATGCATGGACACATAGGGAAACAGAGGGACATTTTACAGGCATGAGACTTTTTTTTTTTGCCGCTAAACAGGCATTTGAAAGCCGCAGTTTGCACGATTCCCTAGGTGGGCTCATTCTTTGCTCAGGCCCACATGTATAGATGCATACGCAACCAGGGGCGGACTGACAACTGATGGGGCCCCCAGGCAATAGGGGATCATGGGGCCCCCGTGTCCTCACCCACACCCAAAAAAGCCTATGAGAAAGCCAATGAAAGGTACCAGGGGCATCTCATGGGGTCCCCGGGCAGTGCCCGAGTGTTCAAATGGTCAGTCCGCCCCTGTACCCAACTCACTTCTATCATTCAGTGCAGGTTGCCTGATAAGGAATCTAACTGCGTTGCCAGGGGCAATCCTAAAAACGTTCCCGTCAGATGCTGTTATAGACAAGGCCTCAGTTTAATTGCAGATCATTTTCTTTCACAGTGATGAATAAAAGGACTGAGACAGAAAAGCCTACAATTGGCTGCTGTAGGCAACACGGACAGTCCTTCTTGCAATAGGTAAAGAGGGAATATTAAAGCCTGCCTCTGTACCGCTACCATCATCCTGCACAAACTTTAATGGTTGCATTTAGAAAGCCAGGCCTCAAGATTTCCTGTACATAAAAGATCTCTTGTGACTGCATTCTAATAATAAAAAAATGGACGCATTCCAAGCGGCAAAGAGGAAGGAAAGGTTGTCAAGCAACAATCCCTGTATTTACTCTAGAGCAGGCTTTTACTTGTCGCTAGGCCCGAACTGATGCACACAAATATAGCTGGGCACTTTCCATACATCCTGGAATCAATATGGCAGCATCATCACTGAGGGGCGAATTACTGGCAGCACTAATTACTGTGACTAGAAGAGGAAATGCTTTGCGTTTGTGACTTTATTGCATTCATTTTCTTACATTGCTCTACAAGAACTCAGATTAAATGTTCAAAAAAAAAAAAAAAAAAAGCCGAAAAAAATTAATATTTTTTTAGAATTTCCTCTTTTGAACAGCTTCTAATAAACCCCCCTCTCCACTCCGTGATGGTGCTGCCATATAGGGTCAGGATGTATGGAAAGTGCACAGCTATAGCTGTGTGTCTCCACTGGGGCCTAGTGACAAGTAAAAGCCTGCTCTAGAGTAAGGCCTCTTTCACACGGGCCTTCCGTCTTTTACATCAGTTCAGTCACGTTTTTTCCAGGAAAAAATAGTTCACATCCGTTTTTCATCAGTTTACATCCATTTTCATCAGTTTACATCCATTTTTTGTCCACTTACATCCGTTTACATCTGTTTTTTCATCCGTTCTGTGTTTTTTTTTTTTTAAACGGAAGAAAAATAATGTTTTTTCCATTCAAAAAAACGGATGTGGACATTAACGGATGTAAACAAATGGTCATCCGTTTACATACACCAGTCCATAGAAATACACGGCTGTCCATTTCTCATCCGTAAACTGACAGATAAAAAAACGGACATACGGAACACCGGTGTGAAACGGGTTTGTTGCTTGACGACCTTTACTTTTCTGGAAAATACAAATCTCGCCTGCGGTATATCAGTATTTAAATAATAATCCTTATAGTTACCAAGACAACAAATTGGTAAAACATCAGAATTAGAATTAAAACTGTAAAATGACTAGAACGGAAAAGAAACATTGCATCATTCAAGCGCAGTTGCTGTGGTAACCGGGATATGACAGTTAGTCTGCATTCACACCCTACTAGCAGAGTTTATTCCTGGGGATTTTAAAGTGTTTCCCTTCCCAGGAAGGAGAAAGAAATCTTCAGGCGTAAAAATGTGTGAAAACGGTTAAAATAAAAAATGAATGTGGTCTCATGCACACTTGGTATGAAAAAAAAAATGCTTTTCTGTATGTGTGTTGTGTTATTATGTGTGTGTGTGTGTGTTGTTTATATAGATGGGGTGTTTTTTTTGTGTTTTTTGTGTTTTTTGTGTGTTTTTTTATGGTGTTTTTATTTTTGTTTTGTGTGTTGTTTGTGGGGGTTTTGTTGGGGTTTTGTGTTTTGTTTTTTGTTTGTTGTTTTTTTTTGATGTGGGGGGTTTTTTTTGTTATGGGGGTTGGGTTTTGTGTTGTTTGTTGTGGTTTTTTTGTTGTTTGGTGTTTGTTTTGTTTGTTTTTGTGATTTTTTTGTGTTGGTGTTTTTTTTGTTTTTTGTTGTTTTGGGTTTGTGTTATTTGGGTTTTTTTGGGTCAGGGGGTTTTTGGGTTGTTTTTTTTGTTTGTTGGTGTGTTTTTGTAGGGTTTTTTTTTTTTGGGGTTTTTTTTGTGGGGGTTGTTTGTGGGTTTTTTTTTGTTTAGGGGTATTTGTGTAAATGTATTTTTTTTTTTTTTTTTATTTGGTTTTTGTTTTTTTTAATTTTAAAAAAAGCGAAAAAAACCATGTTTTTTTTGTTTTTATGTTTGGGGTATGGTT